TTTCAACAATTTTTCCCATGGTTAAAATTACCAAGCTGTTTGTACCTAAGTTATCAGGTTTGTGATGGAGATATTACCATGCTACTTACACAGAATTTACCGTGGGTATGTTTCTAACAACCTTATTCCCCAGGTTAAAGTTTCGTAGTGTTGTTGTGTAAGTTATCAAATGTGCATTGCATATATTACCGTGCTATTTACTAGAAATTACTAGGGGTTTGTTTGCAATAACTTTTTTTCTGAGTCAATAACTCTTTAAGGCCCAAAAGGTGTCCTAGGTGTAATCAAGAATGACTAGTGTGGATGCATGCATGGATCATACTAGTCAGCAAGCTAGCCTCTTGTCTCAACATGAAAGAGAGAGACTATTGGCCTAATAATGTCATGACAGATTATCATATGAATTACAATGTCAAAGGTTATAAGGCTGTGTTGATTCAACCTATATATACACATGTAAATGTTGTGTTGCCACATTCAGTAATGTCAGGAGTTCAACTCCATAACATCTTCTCTCATTTTTCTTCTCGAGGCATACAAGGATAAAGTTGCAATACAACCCAATAACAGTCGCACAATGTGCCATCTCTCCTGCTAGCCACGTCGGCATAGGTACGACAAAAAGAACTTGAGCTAGCGAATGGGTTGGAGTGCCTGAAAATTATCGCGTGGATTGGGCGATGTCTTATGATTGGCCAGCTGCTCCACTCCCACCTCTGATCCCCAAGCCCCTCACGCACATCTCCTCTCGCACCACACGCGCACGCAACCGCCTCCTCCACTCCTCGTTTCTCCCGCTGAGCGGCGCCGAATTTGGGGTGCCATCGGGAAGACAACAACGAGCGTGAGAGGCAGCGACCAGATCGGAGTCCGGCACAGAAGAGAGCTAGCGCGCCCGTGCCGTCCGGCGAGGAGGGGGAGCACCTGCGCCCTGTGGAGTTCATCCCCGGTGCCCGCATCCTTGTCGTCGACCTTGCCCGCACGGCAGGTCGCCACTGCTGGCCGAGGCCACCCAGGTCGACACCACCCCGTCCGGCCTGCAGCACATCCTTCTCGAGGACATGGTATGCCCTTCCTCCCCTCTGTAGGTCTCTAGATGTGTTGATTTGATTGGGCTGTTGGATTCAGTGCTTCTGAGCGATGAAGACTGCGAGTGATTGGACGTGCAATGGCCTAGCGAAGTCATCCGCGTCGCGATGCCGCCGGTACCGAGGCTTGGGCTCGGGCATCCACCACGGCGTCGGGTGCGCCGCCAGGGGTTATTGGGACCACGCGAAGTCAGGTCAATGGTTCTGGCGATGCCAAGCCGTAGATCTGAGCCGCTGTCTCCACTTCATTTCCTCCATGCTTTGATCTACACCTCTACCCCACTACCTCCCTGACTACCTCGCCTTCTCTCACGTAAGCTCGAAATCTGAGGCGGTGAAATCCCTCTAAGGTGGCAGAGGTTGACTGCCTTGATTCTGTATGTCCTTTTTTGGTTGTGCACACCAATTGTTTGATGAATTGCTAGAAGTAACTGTACGTTTTTTCGCTATATGTTTGAAGCACGTAAAATGTGATTTAGCCATGCTTTCAAAAATCACTCATGAAAGCTTTTGAAGATGAGGTGAAGTAGTCCAGTTGACCAAATGTGGTGGCCTATCACACACCAAGGTGGCCCTCTGTTGATTGCTCTGGCGTCTTGCTGAATTATGCGTGTTGCAGGGAGGAGGGACAAACATTGTCTGGGAGGCAGGCAAGGAGGGAGGCCAATCTTAGTTCATCTAATTGTTTGATCGGTCTCCTGATGGACGCCATGGAGGTGATTTTGATTGCACTGGATGTTATTTTTTGCTTAGGCTGTGCTGCTGCTCTTCTATGTGCTGATATGTGCTCTTTTTTCGCAGGTTGATGTTAAGTGAGCAGGCAGTTTGTCATTGTTCGTGAATCGTCTGTTTAGTCTTCCTCTTTGCTTTGTCCGTGCTCAGCTTTATAATAAGTACACTATGGTATGGTGAGTCCCTCTCAATACTCCATGGTTTACTTCCCTTATTTAGACTGGTGATTTCTTTCGAAGAATAGGTCCTTGTTCCAGTTCATAAGGGAATCATGTAGCAGCAGCAGTTAATATGCTTTTCAGTTTTAGTATAAGCAAATTGCAAAATAAATGTGTCATAACATAAGTATTGCTATGATTGCATACATGTATCAAACCTGGTTTTGGTTGATACTATTTAAATTTAGTTTTAGATACTGCCGAATTTTGAATGTTCGGTTACATATGATTCTGGTATAATCTACATCAACTATGTATTCAGACTTCAAATATGTCAGCAAGCCACTTTATAGCTTTGCTACATTTACGTCAGTATTTGTTTCACTTTAGTGCACCATGGTCCTTTTGTCTTTCATTTCTACCTGAAAAGCAACAATCAGGTCGCTTCCCTTTCCTCCTTTTCTCTATTTTTAACTCTTAATGTTTAAATCATTTTGTCGCAACTTCGTAATCATCCAATCTTTCACCTTTGCAGACTTCCTATGAGAACTTTAAGTAATCTGTGCAACCGGCGGGCTAACCCATATGATAGGATTGCTTGGGGTGACATAGAGGTTAATTAAATTAATCTTTAGTTCTTTTCTTGTCATATTTTCATCAGTCAACCTCTAAGGCTTTAGGTTCAAGAAAAATGAATGTAAAACGACAAGGAAGGTCCTGATCAGATGTGTTGGCTGCTGCGGCTAGTGGTGCTTTGGGCACGCAAGGGGAGCACGAGTGCACGACTCACAACCTCTGCCTGCTCAAGATGTGCCACAGCCACGCCGGCCTCGGCGGCAGGCGCAACGACTGGTCGCACTATGTCGAACTAGAATTCCCTGCACCGACGTGATCCAGTTTATCATCTGCATTGTGCCCTCCGTCCTGGACACTCTCCCCGGCATCTACGACAACAGTCAGTACTTCTTCGATGTCGCGAGAGGGATGTGGACTGCACGATGGCGAGCAAAACAAGAACGACCTGGAAAACCTCGACGATGGGTGAATGAGCAGCTGCTCTGTAGTGGCAAATCCTCGTGGCTGCAATACAATGACATGGAGAGGTGCTAGATACAGTCCTAAGATTGCTTGTTTATTTGCCGAATTTGATACACTTTTGAAGAAGCCAGTGTATGTGTAGTGCATCTTGTAAGCAGGTAGATAGCTCACTGCTACCCCCTTTGTTTATACTTTCACCTCTAAGGCTTTGGCTGTCATTCATTAAAAAAATCCTAAGCTGTACATGCATATGTGCTACCAATTAGAGCCACAACCAGCTGAAAGGGCGCTCGTCAACCTGGCACCGCACCAGCTGCCACCCAGGCGGCGCGCTATGGGCGCGCCCCAACAGCTAGTTAGAATAGTACTAGTAGCTATCCACGTTAGATCAGGTTACACCACCTCGTTTCTTCCTTCAGACTAAAGACCTTATATGCTGCTTTTGCCATTAATTCAAGGAGAAGGTTACTGAATGAATTATGTATTGTTTGATTTGATTTTTTTTTACATTTACTTGCTATATGTTTCAGCCATCACAATCCTTCTCCTTCAACAGTTGGATCATCCTGTCCTACTGAAGACGGTATCGTTTGAGCCTCCTTAATCACCCTATCCTGGAGTGCTTCAGCGTGGAGGTAAACAAAAATAAGAACCAACGTTGAGATAAAAAATGGCATTTAGCCCAGTAAGAAAAATAGGCAAAAGGTTGGTTGGACTTTGAAATCTGTACTTCTGGCTACACATGATAGAATTACATCCAGCTAACAACTACTATCACAAAACCGCTCCGTCATCTTAGGCGCAAGAGACTGTTGAGCTAATAATGCTAGGACCAGTAATCAGATCAATAATAATGTGACAATTCTCGGTTTCTGTTAGTTCATTCAACCTATGTATACACATGTAAAGGTTCTGTTGCCACATTCAGTAATCCGATTCAGGCGCCATCATACCCAGATCAACAGCAGAGACCGGATCACTGAACCCGCCCTCCGAGTTAGCTCTGTCGTGGCACCCAGAAAGAGACGCGAGAGAGGGGGGTGGGTGCCGACGGCGACGTTGACGATTGCCTGGGAGGTGCGGAAGGCGGCGGCATGCGGCTGCAGCAGGCGCCGGGGCGCCGACCCCGCAACGTCTCCCATCGCGCCACCGCGGAGCATCAATCGGGGAGGTCACGCCGGGGGATCCCGGCCGATGGCTTGGCGCAGCTCACGACGCCGATAGGAGGAAGGAGAAAAAGCCATAGGCGCACAGGCGGAACGAGCGAGACCACACCTGAAGAGAAAAGTGAAAAAAAAGGGAACTAACGACGGGATCACGCACAAGGCATATCGAGCGACCGAAGCGTGTGAGACCGGATCGGGCGGAGATCAGGTCGTTTGGCACTTTTACAATCTGCCACACGGTTGCCAATAACATATTTCAAAATATATAATGTAAAAGTATATAAATATAGATAGTTATTCGAAAAAATCTAGAAGAAAACAACAATCTTATGACTCCAAAGTCAAAAAGAAAGCGCTGTATGGTTTTGATACTGATTTCTGAGGTTCTTCCGTGATACCTTGGGACTAGCAAAGAGATCTGACACGATGAATCCAAACGAAACACTCTTCACCTGTCTCGCTTTCAGTTACCGTCTAGAGAAAAGTGGATGTAGACGCCACGTCCATCAAGAACTCGTGAAACGGCGAATCAAGCTGTGGTTGAGATAGTTAGGTAGACAGTGGTATCCCTAACCCATCAGAATTGAAATCCTGATACTCGCATTATTTCTGGATTTATTTCAGGATTTTCGGCGATGCGCTTTTAGTGGGAGGAGACGTTCCCGTCGACGACGAGGCGTCTACGGTTGCTTCATAAATTTCAAGATGATATGCCGGCTCAGTCTCTCGAAGGTGCTCGTAGGGATAGGATGTGCGCGTGTGTGTTCATAGAGGTGAGTGTATGCGCGTGTATATGAGAGCTTGTGTCTGTACTAATGCTAAAAAAAAAAGAACTCGTGAAACGCGACGTCAGACGACCCACCGTCTTTCACGGCGGCCACCGCCATCTCCTTGGCCGCCACGAGCCTCTCCCTCAGTTTGTTCCCTTCCTCAGACGCCATCACCAGCCTCACCTTCGCCGCCACCTCCTCTGCCTTGACCAATCCCTCCTCGTAGCCCTCCACCGCCACCCCGACCTTCATCTCCTCCACCACGTGCACCTTGTTCATCCTCTGTTCCGCGTACAGCGGCCAGCAGATCATCGGCACGCCGGACACGATGCCCTCCAGGCGCGAGTTCCACCCACAGTGCGTCACGAACGCGCCGACGGCTCCGTGACGCAACACCTCCGCCTGTGGCGCCCAGTTCTTCACCACGAAGCCCCTGCCAGCGGTCTCCTCCAAGAAACCCTCCGGGAACGACGCCTGCAAGTCCGGCTCGACCGACTCGTCCTTCTGCTCGGGAGGGCTGCGCACCACCCACAAGAACCTGTGCCCGGAGTCCTGTAACCCGCGTGCCACCTCGGCTAGCTGCGCCGCCGAGAAGGTGCCCAGGCTGCCGAAGCAGAGGAATACCACGCCCCGCTCCGGCTGCGCTCGAGGCACGCATGTCTCCCGCCGGCGCCTCCTCCCGTTTGTCCAGGAAGGACTAGTGGGCCGATGCAGTAGACTGGCGGCGTTGGGCGACCAGGCGTGCAGAGGCCGTACCTGAGTGCTTCCAGCGCCTTCGCCTCCAACCAGTCGAAACTGTTCGCCAGAAAACCTCTTGCTTCCGGCATCCGCATGTGGTGGCGCAACCATTCCTTGGCGATATCGCTCTCCTGGTCCAGCATGGTGGTCGACATGTCCAGCGCGCGGATCGGCGGCACGCCAGGGAAGCGGAGCACCGTCTTGCCCATGTCCTTGAACGAGCACGGGGCGGCGGGGTAGTAGTACGGCAGGTGGAGCATGATGGCGAGGTCGCCGACCGCGGAGGCAAAGAAGAAGTACGCGGGGATGTCGAGCTCGGCGGCGACGTCGAGCGCGTCCACGCAGAACATGTCGACCACGATGGCGTCCACGGCGGGGAGGGTACGGACAGGGCCGGTCCTGAGATTTCGGGGGCCCACGGCAAACTAAAAATTGGGGGCCCTTAATATATATACACTCATTGTATATACTATATCCATGTATATTTTTTCTCAAAAAATGTATATATAAATTATTACCAGTAACACTTAAATGCATCCAAAATTAATATGTGTATCAAATAATTTATGCATATTACCTTAAATTCTTCTAACATTCCTCGATGCAAAGTCACATATGATGAGGTCGATGTCAATCCCATCCAATAATTTCTCCTCGATGCATAATGTAGCCAAACCATTTAACCTCTCTTGAGTCATTGTTGACCTCAAATAATTCTTCAATAATTCAAGTTCGAAAAGATTCTTTCGGGCCATGCGACCGTCACAAGCACAGTAAATAAGATGTGATAGACAATGAAGATATTAGGATACCAATCAAGTTCTCTGACATGCCCGAAAATCTCCATAGCAGACATTACGTCATCTGGCAAAGTGAATCTCATAATCATCAATTCAGAAATAAGATTGTATACCTCAACATCAAATGAACCATTCCCGCAAAAAAAACATCAAATGAACCATTAACAGAGAAAGTTTCTGCTGCAACATTCTTCAAGTTCATTGTCACTTAATGACATCAGGGTGCCCGAGCTCAATAAAAATCCGAATATATCTTTAAACACCATGAGTTATCTGAATCTATCATTCAAATAAGTGATCTCCTTATATATCAATCAAAACGTTAAAATATTTCCTCTTACCGGAGGACGTCATAATAACACACACAATGCTGAAAACAAAACCATTTGTTCTATCAATTATTGAACAGTGCCGGCTATGCATCAAAGGATTTTTTTGTATCAATATTATTTGAATATACCTCAATACCTGACGGAGTGATGATCGAACTTCAGTGCACGTGCGTATACAATACACAGGGGTCTGCACAGCGCCTAGAGTCTGCATAAGATTGAGAAGAAAATAGTTGAGCAAATGCCAAACAGGGCCCGGAATTGAAATCAGCGGCGAACATACACAAATTAGGAAGGAAATTACCAGAGGGTTGGGGGCGGCGAGGCGCCCAGGCGGGAGTGCGTGCGTGCGTGCACGGCGGCGTCGGCTGCCAGCAGCTAGGCTGGGACCTGGAATCGTTGCGTGACTCTGCCTGATGGAATGGTCGAACAGAATAGGAAGGAAATCGCCCATGCAGCTAATTGATCGCTCTTTTTTTATGTGAAAGGAAATTCCGCTGATCGCTCGCTATCAAACACTCAATCGCTGGGATCGGGAGATCGAGCTGCCGCTCCCTGGCGCGCGTCTGCCTAGTATGAGCCATAGGCCTATAGCCAACTATCGGGGGCCCCCCCTGGATTTTGGGGGCCCGGGGCGGCCGCCCCCCCTGCCCCTCCCTAGGGCCGGCCCTGGGTACGGAGAAATCCCCGCAGAGAGGGGTTGGCGGCGCGGAGCACGTCGGTGGTGCGCAGGACCGGGTGGGAGTAATGGTCCTTGCCGCAAGACGGCACGGGGAGGAGGCGGAACGTGATGGCTGGGTTGGCGGTGGAGAGGCGAGCCATTGCGTCTTCTGACACGGCGTCCTTGTCCGGTGGGTTCACGACGGCGATGGCGACGGCCTGCCCGCGGCGGAGGAAGACGTTAGCCAGCTCCACCATGGGGTTGAGGTGGCCCACGCCGAGCGAGGGATAGAGCACCACCGTCTTCTGCTTCACAGTAACCGAAACGGACATGCCTCTTGTCTTCGTGGCCTGTGGGGGAAATGAAATGTAGGAGTAGAAGAGATGAGATTACGAGCGCAAATGCACTGTGGCCACTTCTCGTCCAAATTTATGCGTGGCTAATCAGGCGAGCGGCCTGGGCATCTCGAGATCGGCGGGTGGGTCTTCTGGTTGGGTTGTGGGCCACAGAAGAACACGTACGCACCACTTCAGACGTGTCGGGACATACAGGACCTGATTTGTTTTTGCTTGATGTCCTAACTTTGTCGCCGCACCATATAAAAAAGAACACTCCAACCAATGCCAACGGGTAAAATAAAATATAAGTAAAACTGGCCAGCTAGACCGACAAGCCAATACCCACCCATAACCAAACAACACGTAGCACGCAAATGTGCACGTGTAATATACACACTCGTATCACATTAGTCGTGTCAGCTAGCCACCTATCCAACTTTCACACCGTGATCTAAAGTACTACAGTAGGAGAGAAAATTGAAGACACAAGGTAAAATACGGATGAAGACTTGTGGCACGCAAGTGCGGGGCACTCAGGTCCCTCATCCCGCCTTTTTTTTCGATTGTTAAAGTTCTATATTTTTTAAAGAATTTTTTTAATTAAGTTATGTTTTCATATTCGTGTTTCTCGTGACCAGTGATTTGACATAAGATCCATTTTTAATACATTTTGATAACTTAAAAAAATGTTAAACTTCAATGTTGAAACTTAGTACGAGCAACCGATAAAAATCAATAATTTTGTGTTTACAATCAACAGAAAAAATTGTTTAAAATTATATCTCAGAAACTTGTTGAAACTTGGTATTCTTATATGCAAAAACTGTAAATTGCATTGTTGAAACTTGAAGGTTTTTGAGGGATTTTTATTTTACTATCTCCTCATGCAGGATTTAACTACTTCGCAAATTGTGCGAAAAATCAAACGGGCCAACTTGGCAGCGATTCACTCGAGTGACAAACACGGGCGTCGGACGAAAACCTCGCTCGGACAAGAGAAGCACAAGAGTCAGGTGTATTAATTGGAACGTTACTACTACCATCATTGGAGATTGGTGTTTCGGGCGACGACCATTACCTTTGTAGTGGGCCTGAACAATGGTCTTAAATCCTTTGTAACCTACTCCCTTCGTTTTGAAATAAATGATCCAATTTTGTATTAACATTGTAATAAAGTTAGTACAAAATTGAGTCATCTATTTTGAAACGGAGGGAGCAAGAGATAAGGGGCTGGGCGTATTCTATACAAGCCGCTCCTCATCTCTAAGACAAAGATCCGCATCATTTTTTCGAATCACAATCAACATCAGTCACGAGCCTGATAATGACATCACTATAACTACCTCCACCGCCTCCTTCACATGGAGCAAGAGGTGTAGTGGTGAGCGATTTGGACGCCGCTGACTTCCTCTGTAGCACAAGATTTGCAGAGTCTGCCTTGTCCATGGCCCAGAGCAGAACTTAAAGTGGATACTTCGCCTTGCCCCTTGAGAACAAGCGATCTTCTTCCTCGTCGTGCACCACCTCGACCACTGCCATCGCCTCCAAGTTCAGATAGCCCACGACCACGTACCACAAATGGATTTCGCGAAGCCTTGCGAGCTTCCCCGCGTTTCTGCCCGTCATCATCACCATCATCTCTTCCCTCGCGGGCAAATGCAAAACTCCAGTCAAACGATAGCCGCGATGGAGATGGCGACTGCCCTGGTGCGCGTACCCGCGCGGCCGCCGCCGCCTTGATCTCCTCGCTCCGGTCTGCTACGCGTCCGGCGTGCCCAGATCCGGCACCCCCGTGCCGCGCTCTCTCCTTTCCTCCAGTCCGCCTCTCCGTTCATTCGCCCGCCATGGCTCCCCAAGCTCCGACGTCGGCGGCCTCCCCGACCTCTTGGGAACCTCCTGCCGGTGTCCTCCCTGCTTCAACGACGGCGCCCACTCCGGCCTTTTGGGCGCCTCCTGCCGGCGCCACCACCGGTACGACGACAGAGGCCGCCCCGGCCTCTCTGACTCCTTCTGACGGCACCACCACTGCTACAACGACGGAGGCCACCTCAGCCTGTTTTGCCGCTGCCCTCTGTGAACGGCGCCACCGCGACTTTCCTTGCCTTCCGCAAGGCCGACCCGGCCGTGCAGGGACGCCTGCAACTGCTGCGGCCCTCCACAACCAAGACGCGGGCCAGCTCCGATCTAAGCCTGGCGACTCCGACGCCTACCACGCCGCCTGTCGCTGCTGCCGAAGACGATGGTCTTCATGGAGCTCCCTTTGTTGGCCCCGATTTAGGTGCAGCCCCCGACGCCGCTGTGCGGACCCCGCAGCCGCCATTGGCCGTGTCATGGGCTTCCCTCGCGGACAACGTCTGCAGCATTGATGATGAAGACGAGCTCGCCCCGCTGACGCCGTTGGCTGCCAGGTGCTCCAGTGGGGTGAGCGATCCGGCTGCCGCCGCTGTTGTCGCTACTGCTCCTGAGGCGTCTTTGGACCAGGGATGGGTGAAGGTGGGGGGCCGGCGTCGTTCTGCATCGCCGATATTGGCTCTGGCTCCCCGGCCTATCCCTGCCTGGCTTCGCGGTCGATGCTGCAGATGCCTCGCCCCTGGACACCGGGCGGCGGTTTGCAGAGATCCCTTCCGATGCTCTCGTTGCTTGGAGAACGGTCATCGTGCTTGTGACTGCCGCAACCCATGGCGTTCTCTCAGCTCTCTGGCATATCTTGTTGTCCCGCCCGTCTCTCGCCTTGGCATCCAACATTGTCAACCTCCTACTCCAAGAGAGGCCCAATTAAAATCCACACTCCCTTCCGCTGCGCTTCACCGTGGATCTTGGGCGTCTGTGGTTTCTGCTTCCGCTAGCCCGGCATCCCCATCCATTGATGTGCTTCAGACCGCTCTGGCTGATCAGACCGAGTTGCTTCAGGGTTGGCAGACACGTATTGAGAGCTTCCTGGAACGGGCTGAGGCTGCTTTGAGCAGGCTCTCCTTTTTGCCGGCTACGTTTCTGGCCACGCAGACACCACTCCCTCATGTTGGCTCCACGGAGGACGAAGGGGCAGATCCTTATGGTTGTTTCTCCCCTCGTGTTCGGGACAATTCATCATTGATGTTTGCTTCGTCTGTTGTGCATGTCGATGTGGGCGAGTCCATCGCCGTGCTTGCGACTCCGGTGCTACAGCTCATGCCCGAGCTTCGGGATATATGTTCGAGCCCTGCTTCTCCTCTGTCCTTGGAGCGGTTGGAAGTGGACTCGTCGACAACCTTGTGTGAGGGGCATGTTTTGCCTCTGTCGTGTGAGCAACTGGAGGCGCCGAAGTCCATTGTGTCGATGGTTCCTGTGGTGGAGGATGATGTGTTGGGGGTTCCTCGGGCCGATGATGTCGATGCGGCCGGTTTGTTGGTGCCTGCCCCTAGTAGGAGCCCCTTGGTTGATGACAACTACATCAAGAAGTACAATGAGTTCTATGATTTTCTTGACAAATGGGTGGCGGATCAGTCTGGACCCGGCATCACAAGTGGTTGCCTCCCCAAGAAGAAACCCAATAGGGAGAAAGCAAAGAGAAACAAAAGCAAGAAGGGCGGTGTTATTCGGAAGACGCCCACGATTTCATGATGGAGGGTGCTCCGTTTTTATCGTGGTCGATGTTCTTGTGTGAAGCTCCGCTGTGTTGTACAAGTGTCAAGGGTTTCGGTTGTGGTGCATTGGGAGGGCCACATGTGCGGTCACGGTGTTTCCTGTTCTGTGAGTAGTACGACCTTGGGTTGTTTGTATCGGTTTTTGCCCGGTTTTCCAAAAATTAACTCGGCAATTCTCTTCTTCTTAATTAATTTATGAGGCAAATCTTTTGCCTCCGTTTCAAAAAAAAATCTCTTCCCTCGCCATCACCATCGATCAAGTTCGAGCCCGAGTGAGAAAAGATGTATCTAGCAGAGAAGCGCAGGAGGAAGCCGCAAGCTACAAATGAAAAGAGATGAGAGCACCTTGCTGCAGATAGGGATTGATGCGTCGTCAACTCTACACCCACCACCTTGCTCGGGGATCGAGGCAAGCGCCACACCGGATTCGATGACCTCTTCGAGCCTTGCCAAGTGACAAGGAAAATGTTTAGTGTTGCCTAGTACATAATGTCCTCCTGCTTGACACGGACGGGTAACCCACGGCGTGGCCCATGTCATCGAGGATGAACAATTATTGCTCCACTGCTCATCGGAGGATGGCTCCACGCCGGTAGACCAACAAGCCAGGCACTTGGAGGTCGGGAACGTACAGCGTCGCTGATACTTCTCCAACATATTTATAATATTTAATGGTTTTGTGCTATTATATTATCAATTTTAAATGCTTTATATGTATTTTATGCTATTTTATATCATTATTTGGGACTAACATGTTAACCCAGTGTCCAGTGTTAGTTCCTGTTTTTTGCTTGTTTTTAGCTTTTTAGAAAATCAATACCAAACGAAGTCCAAACATGATGAAATTTTCGGTGATTTTTCTGGACCAGAAGGGACCCAAGAAGGTTCGGGAGGAGGCCAAAAGACTTAAGGGAGAACCAGGAGCTCGTAGGGCACGCCCCAAAGGGTAGGCGCTCCCCCTGAGCTCGTGGGCCTCATGTAGCTCTGTTTGACCTAATTCCATCTCTATAAATTGACATATATTCCCAAACCAACACAAAGCCATCTGAAACACTTTTTCACCAACGCAAGCTTTTGTTCTTCCACGATCTCATCTGGAGACCTTTTCAGTTACTCTGTCGGAGGGGGAATAAATCAAGGAGGGCTTGTACATCATCCTTACCGCCTACCGATGATGCGTGAGTAGTTCACCACAGACCTACGGGTCCATAGCTTGTAGCTAGATACCTTCTTCTCTCTCGTTGATCTTCAAGACCATGTTCTCCTCGATCTTCTTGGAGTTCTATCCGATGTAAT